ATGGTTCAGTTGTGGGTGAGTAGGGCTTCTGAAGTGTAAGTCTTATTCACACGGTTGTGTATGTGCTTACAAACTCCCCTTGCTATTGTCTGATTGTATTTGCCATATCGTTACTGACCCTGAATTCATGTGGTGGCTGTCTTCTGTTTTTCCCTCCCTTGTTGTAGCATGCAGGCTTCTGTTAAGTTGTGCAATACGTGAAGGACCTTGTCTGGATCCCATCCTATTTATAGGAGACTGAACGAGCAAGAATGCAGTCTTAGATTGCTGTGGACAGGGAGGCGGCCAAGGTAATCAATCTTCTGATCGCGTAGGGGAGAAGGCAGTGGGCGAGGAGGAGGCGAGTGCACGGGTGCCACATTGCTCAGAATGCATGCGCGCTTCCTACGCAACGATGATGATGTGGTGTGAGCCGCGGGGACGGGGCAGCGACAAATGAAAATGCACGCAACGTGGAATGGGGGCAAAACGTTACAATCAAGGTGCCCTTTTGCGTCTGTCTGTCCTTGTCTCTTGACTCTGAAGGAATTGAATCCACCACCACGGTAAGGGCTTTCTGTACGATTTTGTCGCTGGGACTTGTGATATGATAAGGATAAGGCGCGAAGGGTGGCTCAAAAAAATTGATCTTGCATCGATGATGACCGCAATCTGGACGTTGATGCATTGGTCGAGAGAAAATGGATGGTAGGTAATTATAGGAAAGAATGCATTTCACATTAACGTGATTCTAACGAGGAGAGATCTTCAGGCGACCTTGACGTTGGGCTAAGACGGTCGGTTGGTCGGGCACTTATGTGAATGTTGTTTTCTGTTGTGGATTGACGGGTTTCATGGAGGGGCGACAATGGAAGAAGATGCATGACAGGGAACCTTGTTGTGCAGTTGTGGGACGCGAGGCACAATTCGGCACTGACTGGGGAAGCAAAAAAAACTGCAGGCCCAGATTGCAGGAATGCAGGGTCAGAACAGCCACCCCCTTCCTGTGAGTTGGGGGATTGGGGTGGTGGTCCGTCTTCTTGCTGTTGTCCTTCAGGACATCCGTTGAAGTTGGAACGATACAGAGATGATTAGCATGCCCCCTGCACAAGGATGACACGCATAAATCGAGAAATGGTCCTTTTTCTTGCTGTTAGAAAGCATACATCCTTATGGATGCGGCTGCAATCCTTCTCCTTCTTCTTGCTGTGAGGAAGCAACTTTCAGCCTTGTAGAGCCAATCGAATTGGCTTCCTTGTAATCCAATCAAATTGCCGGCCTTGCCTGTCGCCTGAGACTTGCATTGGCCGCCTGATTGTGCGGTGGGGTTAGACGTGCAGGCCTGATGTGCAGGGAATGGTTACGGGGTTGCAATCTTTGGGTGGATTGTATGTCAACAAGGGAGCAGCAGTTCGAGGGGGATTATTAGCAGTTGGCGGCCTTGCTTATTGCCTGCGACTGTATTCATTATTTGCCCGATGGTGCTGGCTAATAGATGTGCTGGAGGGCTTAATGCACACAGGAATTTGATTTGATTGTTTTGCAACTCTGCATTGATTTTATGTCAACAAGGGAGCAGCAGTTTGCAGGGTCAGCAATTAATTGACAGCCTTGCTTGTCGCCTGCGGCTATTTGTTTACATTTATGTAACTTAATTAGTCTACCTATTGTAGCTTCTCGATTGCCTTGATCGTGCTGGCAAGATGTGAAGTGCCTGATGCACACAGGAAATTGATTTGATTGGTTTGCAACTTTGCATGGATTTGATGTCAACAAGGGAGTGGCGCTTTGTGGAGTTAGCAGTAGTTTAATTAATTAAGGGGGGGGGGGGGGGGGGGGGGGGGGGGGGGGGGNGAGAGAGAGAGAGAGAGAGAGAGAGAGAGAGAGAGAGAGAGAGAGAGAGAGAGAGAGAGATGTAACTGGTGAAGGGAAAGAGAGGTTGAGCGGAAGTGGAAGCGAAAGGAGTGAAAGCGGCAGGAGACAGACAACACATACGTCCATACATACATACATACATAAAGGAGAAAAGAGTAGCTGAATTGAGATGGGGCTGACCTACTTCTATTCGGTGTTTGGGATTCTGTCAGTGATCTGCTTTTTTCTTGAGACGACAAAGACTCCAGAGGATAAGATTTCTACCTCAAGTGTTTTCAATTCTTTCAAGAACAATTATATATTTGTGTACTGCCTGATGATGGCAGGAGATTGGCTTCAGGGACCATATGTCTATGCTCTCTACCAGTATTACAACTATGACCGTGGAGATATCGGGCGTCTGTTCATTGCAGGCTTTGGATCGTCCATGGTGTTTGGTACGGTTGTCGGTTCGCTCGCGGATAAGCATGGCCGGAAGGCTGCCAGCATCACATATTGCATAACGTACATTCTTAGTTGCTTCACGAAACACTCGTCGAAATATGGGTGGTTGCTGTTAGGCAGAGTGTTGGGGGGTATCTCAACGTCGCTGCTGTTCTCAGCGTTTGAATCGTGGCTGGTGTCAGAGCACATAAAGCGTGGATTCGAACCTAATTGGCTGTCAGTGAGCTTTTCAAAGGCTATATTTCTTGGGAATGGACTGGTTGCAATATTTTCCGGGCTACTGGCAAATACACTGGTTGTGGATGCGGGACTGGGACCCGTTGCGCCATTCGATGCGGCTGTGTGCGTTCTCGCCATCGGGATGACAATCATTGCGTTTACATGGACAGAAAACTATGGCGACCCTTCCGAGGGGAAGAACTTGATTCGGCAGTTTGCTACGGCAGCCAAGCTCATTGCGGCAGATGAGAAGATTGCTCTTCTCGGTGCGATTCAGTCCCTTTTCGAAAGCTCGATGTACACTTTTATCTTTCTCTGGACACCGGCTCTGGGTTCTGAAACGAAGTTTGGATTAGAAATTCCCCACGGCTTTGTATTTGCGACCTTCATGCTTGCCTCCATGATTGGAAGCTCCCTTGCTTCCAGGCTACTCGCCAGGCCATTCCTTAGAGTCGAAAGGTACATGCAGTTTGTCTTTCTTGTCGCATCCGCGTCTCTACTTCTCCCAACGTACGCTGGATACTTCGACGAGCACAGCAACAATGTTGCGGCTGAAATCGCCGCTGACGGTATTAGCCCCGGTGGCAGAATTCAGATGGCTGGTTTTCTGATCTTCGAAGTGTGTGTCGGAATTTTCTGGCCGTCGATGATGAAGATGCGCAGTGATTACGTCCCTGAGGAATCGCGATCCACAATTATGAATTTTTTCCGAATCCCGCTGAACATGTTTGTGTGCATTGTGCTGTACAATGTGAGCGTTTTCCCGATCAGTTCGATGTTTGCGACGTGCGCCGCTCTTCTGGTTGCCGCGGCTCTTCTGACACGCCGTCTTCTTGTCCTTTCGACCACCGACAAGGCACGCTCAAGGATCGAGCAGTGGAGAGCAGAAGCGAAACATCAGCGTGTAATTGCTGCCGAATTAGCAATTTAAAGGAGCATGTGAGACATAGCAGAGCTTTAGCGATCGGGACTGGTGATGCATGCATATGTCTCTCTGCCTACCTTCATCTCCTTGTTGTTTGTTTTTTTTCTTTTTGTCTTGTCCGATTTGTGGCAAGCATTTGCCAAGCCGTGGACGGGAATGTGTCCCTCTCGAAGAGTATGCGTAGGGTTTCCCGTTTCATTGTTTCCTCCTTTTGTTCTCCCGAATAAGAACATGTTCCATACAATTTCATCTGGTGCAAGTTATTTGTGGGCTTGAGGATGAGTGGATTCTTACAGTTGAAACGTTGCAATTTGGGTCACAGGCGTGAACGGCTGATTTGCTGTGTGACATCTATTCATCTCCTAATCTGCGGCGGACCCACAAGGTGGCGAAGATGGCAGGTAATGTTCGCACACAGCGAAGATTGTTTTCTTGTTTGCTAGTTTTACCGTAGAGGGTCCTGGGCACAGGATGTGCAGTAATGGTGCCACCGTGCTTGTTCTCTCTACCAGTCAGTTCAGCAGAGTTTTTGTTTTTAACTTTGACTGCACGGGTTGCCACTTCTATTTATCCCTGGTTTAAACCTCCAGTACACGGCCCCAGCCTTGTGGAGAATCGTTCGTCACGTACTCCAAAAAAGTTGGAGCCCGCGCGCCGTCGATAAAATACATCGGCGACCGGCGTTGCGTTTCGGCCTCTGAAAGGGGCCCGCGGCCGATGTATGGCATGCATACTTGCAAGCAGGCGGACCGGACGAGCGTCCGGTCCGGTCCGCTTTACCGCGTGCGGCACCCTCCCCCCGGATGAGACGGACCCGGACCTGACCGGACGGGGCCATTTTTTTTTTTTTGGGGGGGGTGGGGCGTAACTGGTCGTCGGGCGCACATTCGTGCACCACGCAGGTCCGGTCCGGTGGTCTGCCGCACGTGCGGAACCGCGCGGAGCGTCCGGTCCGGTCCGCTTTGCCGCGTGCGGCACCCTCCCCCCGGACCAGACGGACCCGGACCCGACCGGACGGGGCCATTTTTTTTTGGGGGGGAGGGGGTGGGGCGCAACTGGTCGTCGGGCGCACATTCGTGCGCCGCGCGGGTCCGGTCCGACGGTCTGCCGCACGTGCGGCACCACGCGGACGGCGTCTGCTTGCAAGTATGATGGCATGTACTGGCGGTTTGAGCTCCTTTTCCCTCTCCTTTTTAAACTGAAATAGATTATAATTTAAAATGAGTTTTGCTCTTGTATTCTTTTGAATGAAAGAATTGGCATAATTATGACCGGATGCATAAGGATCTCTGCCTTGCATTGTCTGCTTTCGGTAGGTGGAGGTTTCTCCAGTAATTCTTGTAGTCCGGGCGCACAGGTAATCCCGCTCACTGAACCAGATCTTTTTTTTTTTTTTTTTTTTTCCTTATTCGGTCCCAGATAAATTCAGAGTTACATCTCGTTGCATGTGGATTCAAGCTTGGGTCTGTGTTCAGCAGTTCATGTGCACAACTGAGTTAGGCCAGTTGGTGCACACAGAATTGAGAGCGCACATGCTGGATGTGCCGCGAACGTCACAAGAGGCTGGGAAATTCAGCAAGTGATATTTGCCAGCTGGGGAAATGATTGAGAATCGGAGATGCACTGTTTTTAGATTGCTGTCATAACATAGAGAATAGGTTTGGAGGATTGCGAGGATTGCGGTCCTTTCAGTGGTGCGGCTGGGGAGCTGGTGGGGACTGAAAACGGTCAAACTGGACAGACGGTAGAAAGGTGCTTCAACCCTTGCACCCGGACCGAGTTTCACCGGAAGGATATTTATTATTTTAATGTTTTCCTATTGAGTACGTATTGAACCAATCAAATGCGGTACATCGGGAGCTCAGCGGCCTTGTGCACGGCCACAAGTTTTCAAAGAAAGGTTCTGTCCGGTGGTGGTTTAACAGAAGGTTTGGGTGACTATAGGATATCTGACCAATAGAAATGAGGAGAGAACTCTGGAGGTTGCTTTGTCGGGGACTTAGCTCCAGATCGCTCGGCTTGGAAGCCGGATGAGATCAACATTCCCAACTTCATCGATCGGCCGAGGATATGGTCCCGCATGTGCGATCTCCAGATCGCTCGGCTTGGAAGGCGGACGAGATCAACATTCCCAATTTCATCGATCGGCCGAGGATATGGTCCCACATGTGCGGCTTCAAGAGCGAGCGATGACAGAGCAATATCCGCTCACCCTCTGTGGTGTGTTTGACCTTTCAAAGGGATCATTCCACCTTGTCTGAAATGACTGTAGTGGGTGTGAGGGCTCAGCACGCAGATAAAATTGTCCCAAGACCCAGAAAAGACAGTTTCTGCAAGTGGGTGATAAACATGGTGGGTCACATTTTCTGGACCCCTTTTGCAAGGCAGTCAAGGCGCTGGGCGAGGAGTGTAGTGTCTCTGACCTTTCAATGGGATCGTCCGAAGACCCAGAAAAGACAGTTTCTGCAAGTGGGTGATAAACGTCGTGTGTCACATTTTCTGGACCCCCCCTTTCACAAGGCAGTCAAGGCGCTGCGTGAGGAGTGTAGTCTGCTTGAGCTTTCAATTGGATCGGTCTAAGTTTCTAACCCCTTGTCTGAAGTGACTATAGTGGTTGCGAGGGCTCAGCACACACAGATAATTGTCCCAAGATCCAGAAGTCTGTTCCTGCAAGTGGCTGTTAATTGCGGTGTGGGCGCGTGCATCCCATTTCATGGACCCCTTTCGCATGGCAATCAATGCGCTGGGTCAAGATCCTTGGACTTGTTCCTTCACAAATTGTCATTGTTTCCGATTTACGGACTTCCAGATGTCCCTTCGGTTGTCCATATGCTTGTTTGGGCTCATCGGTGCTCTTTTCCTATACACAGTCATGCCAGGTGATGACTGTGTTCGAACCGAACTTGGAGTGTGACACTCGGGTGGAATTCTGGTTTTTGTTCGATGTTCGAGAACATAGGAAAGGGGCGAAGCATGTCCGCTTTGATTGGTTAGGCAAGTCTGAAGTTTTGGGCTCACTGACACTCTTGTCATACAGACAGTCATGCCCGGTGATGACTGTAGTTTGGACTAGGGTGCTATTCAGGTTGATGTTTGATGTTGAAGATCATTGGGGTGGGGGGGAGAATTATATCCACTCTGATTGGTGTGGCAAGTGTGAAGTTTCGGGCTCATGGACGGTCTTTTTGTATACGGTCATGCCTGGTGACGACTGTCGTTGAAACTCCGGGTCTGAAACTAGGGTGGAATGCAGGCTGATGTTCAAGAACATGGGAGGGGGGCGAATTATGGAGGTAATGTTTCTGATTGGTCAGACAAGTTGAATGTTAGCCAGCATGGAGGTAATGTGTGAGCGCTTCCCACACTGCAAGGCACTCTTGCTATTGTCTGCATGCATGTCAACCGTACTTGCAACCGCACGAGCCGCACATCCGTCAGGAGTTCCGTGCGGAGTTTCATGTGGGGGGTATGTGTGCAGAATCGTGCAGGTTTGTCTTTTGGGGGGGGGGCGGTTATGGCGGGGATATGGGGAAATGGTGAGGAGATGATTAGGATGGACGAGGAGACGATGAAGGGGAGGAGACATGGATGACGAGGAAGGGGGTTAGGGACGAGGAAGGACGAGGAGACGTGGACGACGTGGAAGGGCAGGAGGCGAACAGATGGACGAAGGGAAAAGAAGAGGAATTGCAAGAGGAGGACGAGTGGGAGGAGGCGGAGACATGGACGACGAGGAAGGGGAGGAGACAAGGAGGCATGGAAGATGACGAAGTACGAGGAGGAAGAGACATGGAGGATGAGGAAGGGCAGGAGGAGGACGAGTCGGAGGAGACGAAAAGGAGAAGGGAGGAGGAGACATGGAGGACGAGGAAGGGGAGGAGCGAGGTGAGGCGGCTATCCAATTTTTTTTTTTGGTCCCGGTTCAAATTTTTGCAGGGGGACTCGAATGGGGTGTTTCGACCCCCTGCCTTCCTTTTTTTCTCCACTTTAAGCCACAGTGTTGGAA